GACACTGACAACAAACCTTACCATTTGTTAAACTTTCATTATGTGCTCACGTAAGCATCCTTCAAACTCACATGAAGAATATGATCATTGTTTCCAAGTTGAAGAAGCTGAATCTGAACTCTTTGATAACTTGCTCAGGTGTGCTCTCTTACTAGAGGGAGAACCCTGAGTCTTTTTTCCAGAGTTATAGATTCAGTGAAAGTGAATGTGAAAGTCACTCAGTCGTGTCCAACTCTTTGCAACCCCATGGATCATACAGTCCATGAAATTCTCCAGGCCAGAATACGGGAGTGTAACCTCTCCCTTCTCCAGGGGATCTTCCCAACACAGGTATCGAACCCTACTCTCCCACAATTCAGGTGAATTCTTTACCAGCTGAGCTACAAAGGAAGCCCTACTTCAATCTCCCTACTCCTGAGGAGTAGGGAGCCCTGTACATTTAAAAAAATTAATTCATTTATTTTAATTGGAGGCTAATTACTTTCCAATATTGTAGTGGTTCTTGCCATACATTGACATGAATCAACCATGGGTGTACATGTGTCCCCCATCCTGAACCCGCCTCCCACCTCCTTTCCCATCCCATCTCTCAGGGTCATCCCAGTGCACCAGCCCTGAGTAGCCTGTCTTATGCATCGAACCTGGACTGGCGATCTATTTCACATATGGTAATATATGTGTTTCAATGCTATCCTCTCAAGTCATCCCACCCTCGCCTTCTCTCACAGAGTCCAAAGTCTGTTCTTTACATCTGTGTCTTTTTTGCTGTCTTGCATTGTTGCCATCTTTCTAAATTCCATACATATGCATTAATATACTGTATTTGTGTTTTTCTTTCTGACTTACTGACTCTGTTATAGGCTCCAGTTTCATCCACCTCATTTGAACTGATTCAAATGCATTCTTTTTAATATTCCATTATGTATATGTACCACAGCTTTCTTATCCATTCGTCTGCCAATAGACATCTAGGTTGCTTCCATGTCCTAGCTATTGTAAACACTGCTGCGATGAACACTGGGGTACACATGTCTATTTCAATTCTGTTTTCCTCAGTGTGTATGCCCAGGAGTGGGATTGCTGGATTGTATGACAAGTCTATTTCCAGTTTTTTAAGAAATCTCCACGCTGTTCTCTATAGTGGCTGTACTAGTTTGCATTCCCACCAACAGTGTAAGAGAGCTCCCTTTTCTCTGCATGCTTTCCAGCATTTATGCTCAACATCACTCATTTTCAGAGAAATGCAAATTAAAACCACAATGAGGTACTATCTCATGCTGGTCAGAATGGCTGCTATCAAAAAGCCCTGTACATTTTAAGGGTCTTTGTGTTTTAATGGAAACCTATGTAAGTGTTGGGGAGCCTGCAGAAGCTTGCTGAGTTCCTTACACTGTCTGTACAGAGAACCTGAACTCACAGCGCAGAAGCTGTGGGCAATAGGGGAACTTCCACTTCCCACCCAGAGATTTGACCAGAAGCCCAGGGTACCACTGACTTTAGGGACAATATCTCCTGTGGTCCCAGGTATAGCTCAGTCCCTCTGGACCCTAAACATACTCCCCACCTGGGTGCCAGGAGGAAGCTGGGCAATTAGCCCCCAGTTAACTGCTTCTCTAGTCAGGGATTGGTGGCTGTTTCCCTCTAGGGTTTCTTTCTGATGAGCCAAAGGAGACCTTCTTGCCTGTTGTTTTGAGGCTGCTGAACAGACATGAGAGTCTGTAAAGCTCCTCGGACCACCAAGGTTTGCTCTTTTTCTTTGGATACTGGGTCTTTTGAGCAGAAAGTGAAGATTCAGGTAACAGAAAGAAGCAGAAGGTATCTGAATTCATAGCACTGTTATAGCTCAGAAGAAGCCCAGAAATCTCCATAGTCGTACATGTGTGTCTGTGTGTAAATGTGTGCATGGGGGACCATGAGAGACATTGCGTGTATCTGTGTGTGTTGTGTTGTATGACTATGTGTTATGTGTAATTAGATTTCCAGAAAAGCTGGAAATTTCCTATCAGTGTGTGCTCCTTTTACTTCCATTCATTGCTGTGTGCTGAATGTAAGGCCTTGTGCATGACTCATGATTTGAATATGTGTGACTTCTTGGTCTGCAATGTCTGTGGTATAGGATGCTTGAGAGTTTGTGTGTAGCTGCATTGCACATGTGTGTTTTGTTTGTGAGTTTTGCATAGATTTGAAGCTGACTCACATCCTGACTGTATTCACCTATTAATAGTTTGAGCATGTGTGTGTATGTACGTGCAAAGTTATTTTTGACTGTTTTGCGACCCCATGGACTGTAGCCCACCAGGGTCTTCTAGTCCATGGAATTTTCCAGGCAAGAATACTGGAGTGGGTTGCTATTTCCTACTTTAGGGGATTTTTCCAACCCAGGGATTGAACCTGGGTCTCCTGTGTGCCACTGTGGTTCCTGGGAAGCCCAAGTTAGAGAAAAATAAAAATCCATTTGGCAAGTGTTTGTCTGTGATGCTGTATGAGTGCCTTTGTGTAAAAAACCCCACATCTTGACTTACTTCACACAGAAGATACAGGTAGGTGTGTGTGTGTGTGTGTGTGCATAAAGGTCTCATATTTTAGCTTTCCATTTGGCTGAGACAAGAATCCACACAGGCAGCTCCAAAGGAAGCCCACTTGGAGGCACTTCTGACATCCATTTGTCAGTGATGTAAATATTCCAACAGTAGGGGAAACCCAACACTTTTGACATCCTCCTTCAATTTTGGTAATACATTTTAGAAACAAAATGCTCATTTCTGATGTCACAAATGTCTACATTCAAATCTTTGTCTTTCCCCCACTTAATAGCTTTGGATTTGGCCTTGGTGATGCTCAGCATCCTCTACCGTCCATGGAATCCTGATGATTGCTGAAAGATCTTGTGTGCAAGGTGCTTCAGACATTCTAGACACATTGCAAGCTCTTATTCAATAGTAAATTGTAGACTCATGGAGGCTAGGACAACTGACCCTCCGTTTCTCCACTAATCAGGAGGCAAAATTTGGTATGAAGACAGGAAAATTAAGCCCATCCATAGGCTCTTTCCCAACCTTCTCCAGGCCGCACTCCCCCAGGTTGCGACTTCTCTTTATTACTGAGCAATTCCATGACCGCCTCTTTCCACATGGTGTTGATGGAATCATAGAACCACTTCTGTATTATTCCCAGCTCCTTGTTGTCATTATGTGCTCTGTTTCTCCTCCAGGAGATCTTTGTGATCCTGGGTTAAGTCTGACCTAGCAACTTTCAGGGAGAAGGCAGTCCTTGGCAGAATAGTCCAGAGCCTGGACCCTTCTTCTGCATTATGAACTGAGTCAGTTAATGACCTCGAGCAACTTCCTGGTCTGGAGCAAGCATCTAGTGAGAGATCCTTACACAATGTTAATGTTTATTTTTCTCTCCCAAGCGTATTTTACCTTTTCACTTTAACTTTTCATATTTCACATCTCTACCACCCATAAAAATAAATGAGTGGGTCCTCTCTTTAGTGAAAATATTATCAGAAAATCAACCTTTGAGTGAAGGCTCCACTATACAGTATCTATGTGAGATTATTTAATTTATTTCACTACTCCTGTTAGTGAAATGATGGGGAAAAATTACTATTTTCCAGATACAAATAAACACTGATGGACTGAACAAAAATGAAGGCAAATAAAAGCAATTTACAAACTTAAGGGCTGCAGGAATTTGAGTATTGACAGTTATCTGAGCAGAGAGAATCCTTCAAATTTTGAAATAACATTTCTTAAGATCCTGCCTATTCTGTCTAACTAAAGAGAAAGAGAAATAGTAGAGTCACAAGAGCAGATACTCCAATACATTTAAAAAAACACAAGAGACAATTGTGACTATAGAAGTTACTGTTTGACCATGCTAGCTTCCTAATACTTCTCAGGATGTTTACAATGAAGTTTAATAACACCTACCTCTTAGGACTGTTGAAAAAATTTAGTGAGGCTATTTTCCAAAAATGTTTTAGTTTGACATAGTGTTCATTCAATGTCAGTAATTATCCAGTGTGAAGATCAATTTTGGGAAGTAGTGAATGGTCAGTCAGGTAACTGAATTCTAATAGACCCTCCAATCCTTCAGTATCTCTCAGCTCTCAGAAACCAGATCTCAGATCTCAGGTGTCTTCCTACCTATGAACACTCAGATCTGAGCCAACATGAAGCACCAGAAATGGATGGAGATACATGTACAGAAAGAAGGTTTATTTCTTGGCCAGAAGATAAACATGCATTAAGACAAGTTCTACCAGGGAACTGACCCCAGTGATATCTGAATTCTGTTCACCTTAGTGTGTGTATGCTCAGATAGATGCAAATTTTAGGCCAGTTTCTTGGACCTTTGTGCTGACCATCTCATAATACTGTTTTATTAAATCCTTGAATTTGATACTGAGTTTTTTGGATACTTGTCCTATCACAAAAAATAATTGAGAAAATTTTGTATGTATTTTATGTAGGACACTGTTCTTAGATATTAATATGCATTGAAATAGAATGCTCTTATTAACTCTATGACTGTGTGATATTAGTATCTTTGCATTATAGAGGCACATGTGAGGCCAAGGGAGATTTAGCAACCCAGGTCATTTAGCTAAAATGAGGTGGGGGCAGGATCGCAACACGAGGAATCTGGCTTCAGGTCTATAATGTTGGTCAGTCCTTTGTCAGATGTTCCCTAGAGGGTTAGTATCCAAAGAGAAGCGATCCTGTGTGTCCTGTTTATTCCTGTATCTCCACTCAAAATCTTAATGCCAGAAGCACGGTTAATTAAAAAGAAAATTGAAGAATGAATGTGCTCTGGTTTTCATCAAAAGGAACCATATTGAGCATTGAGGATGTGTCGCTTGCTTTGGCAATACTAGGTAATAAAAGAAATTTAGGAGAAAATTCTTTTTCTCTGAGAGTAACTTTGAGACCATAGTGTGGTCAAGCTTCTGACATTTCCCTGTATCCTTCATCCCCAGCAGACAGGAGAGGAGCATGAGGAGGGAAAATCAGAGCAGCGTGTCCAAGTTCCTCCTCCTGGGGCTCCCCATCCGGCCAGAGCAGCAGGGCGCGTTCTTCACCCTGTTCCTGGGCATGTACCTGACCACAGTGCTGGGCAACCTGCTCATCATCCTGCTCATCAGGCTGGACGCTCGCCTCCACACCCCCATGTACTTCTTCCTCAGCCACTTGGCCCTCACTGATGTCTCCTTTTCATCTGTCACTGTCCCTAAGATGCTGATAAACATGCATACTCGGGATCAATCAATCCCCTATGCAGGGTGTGTGACACAGATGTATTTTTTCATATTTTTTGGTTGTGTTGATAATCTTCTTCTTGCAGTGATGGCCTACGACCGGTACGTGGCCATCTGTCACCCTCTCCACTACACCACCATCATGCGAGGAAACCTGTGTATTTCACTGGTGGCTGTGTCCTGGATCTTCTCCTGTAGCAGTGCAATGTCCCACACGCTCAGCCTGGCCCGGCTGTCCTTCTGTGCTGATAACACAATCCCTCATTTCTTTTGTGATCTTGCTGCCCTGCTTAAGCTCTCCTGCTCAGACACCTCCCTCAATGAGTTGGTCATCTTCACTGTGGGGGCACTGGGAATCATCATACCACTCACTGGCATCCTAGTGTCTTATGTCCGCATTGGGGTCTCCATTCTGAGGGTCCCCTCGACCAAAGGGATTTACAAAGCCTTGTCCACCTGCGGCTCCCACCTCTCTGTGGTTTTCCTATTCTATGGGACAATTATGGTTCTGTACATTTTCCCACCATCAAACAACTCCAGTGACAAAGACATGATTGCTTCAGTGATGTACACAGTGGTCACTCCCATGCTGAACCCTTTCATCTACAGTCTGAGGAACAGGGACATGAAGGGGGCTCTCGGGAGACTTTCCAGGAGGGAGATCTTCTTCTCTAAGTAACAATACCTCACCTTCTCAGCTTCTGATTCTGAAGAACCAAATGGCACCTGTCAGAGACTCCCCCGTGGACGTCTATGCCAAGGACCAGCCTGTTGCCGTGCCCACTGTGCATCCCTGCTTCCTGCCACTTGCTTTATTGTTCTTTTGTTTGCTCTTCCTGAAACCAGTGAGTTCCAGGCATAGACACACAGCCAGTGCTATTTGTTGTAACCATCTGTGTTTTTTGAACCAGCTTCTTTTTTGCTTGAGCTTTATTTTTTGTCTCTTTCTGTTTCATAAGCCTTGGGATCTGGCAACACACTAAAGCACCATCGTTTCACTATCTTCAAAGCACCAAATGTCTCTTAAGTCATGAGTAGAAAGTGTCATCTTTAACAATTACACTATTGACTTATAGTTATGAACAGGCAAAAAGACCCCTTATTTTGATACATGTTTCCTCTTTAAAGAAAAAGAAAATTTGACTGCAAATTTATTTGCTCTTTGAATGTGTTAGAGCAAATAACAATTTTTTAATTTTAATGTTATTTTAAAAAATAACATTTTTAAAAGCTGTATCTTCTCATTCTTTAAGTTTCTGATGCCTATGTCAAGAATACTAGATGATGATACTTGGACTATAGTGATTAAGAAAAGCACAGGGAACTGAATCAAGATACATATTCTAAAAAATAAATGTCTACAACTACACTGGGAATTCTATAGAGAATTTTTATGGTAGAATCCAGGAGGAAGTTTTTGCCAAAGTTTTGCCACAGCTGAAAGAGCATCTTATCCTTGGGAGCCTTGTAGATAATGAAATATGAACCAAAACCGAACACAAAGAATCATTGTTTGATGAGACATTGCAATAAGGCAGATATAACTCTGATCTCTTTAGATAGTGGCTGACTGCAAAAGACAGGCTTCCAAAGGAATCTGCTCTGAAAAATGAAGATGGATAAAAACATATTTCCACGTTTAATATTTCTGTGAAATGTCTTTGTGTGGAAAGTATTCCCTAGCGTGAAAATTGTGTTAATTAAGATAATGGCGGCGGGGGAGGGGGGGGGGCGGGGGGAGGTCTCAATGGAAAATATTTCTGTTGTTTGGGGACTCTGGCTTATTTCTAATTTTTCATTTTTATTTACAGTTTTATTGGGGGTGTAATTGACATACAGTTTTTAAAAGTTCAACTGAAGATATTTTGACATACCCATGAACAGATGGCACCTTGATCTTGGACTTCCTAGCCTCTAGACCTCAGACAAACAGGGGTCTACCAAAGTGGCTGTACCAATTTGTATTCCTACTAGCACTGAACCAGGGTTCTTATTGCTCCACATCCTCACCAGCATTTAGCATTGTCAGTATTTTGGATTTTGACTTAGCTTTGTTACTCCTTTGTCTGTAGAAAGGGAGCTGATCTGCTGATTATAACTATTACTGAGCCCGTCTATGTGGGCAGGCCTGTGTTAGGCAGCTGAACAAAGAGAAACATCAACCAAAGTGTCTTTGGCATACATGCAACTTTTTAGGGTCAGAATAAACGAACCTCATCATATTCGGAGGCAAATGTGTGTGTCTCAGGCTGATAATTTGGGAAGCTTCTTAAAATGATACACAGCCTTGAGCAGGACCTAGAAAATCATGCATTTTTGAGAGATGGAGAATCCTGGAGGTGGCCATCCCAGCAATGATGGTGGTGGCAACTGTGACTGTGGGTTGATTGAGAATGGCAAGGCAAAATGTAGATTTAGTATATTAGTCAGTTCTCTACAGATTTAATAAATTATTTGTTGGAGTGTGAAGCTTCCTCCTCAGAAAGAAGTTTCTTCCTCCTTTCATTAAATGTTATGAAAACACTCTCATTCAAATCAACTATTTTTTATCCATATCTAACTTTTTCAGGATGCCTACTCTGACCACTTTACTTAAATGTGTTTCTAGTCATTTCTCATATCCCTATCCTGATCTGTTAACACCATGATGATTTTTACCAACTGCCAAGTCATAGATTGTACTATTTTGATTTTTTGTGTTCTTGTTTTACTATGTAGACTTGTTTTGTTTTGGGTTTTTGTTTCCTCCCCTTAAACTGCAAGCTATACCAGATAACATGTACTTCCCTGGTGGCTCAGGTGATAAAGAATCTGCCTGCAATGCAGGTGACCTGTGTTTGATCCCTAGGTTGGGAAGATCCCCTGGAAAAGGGAAAGACTACCCACTCCAGTATGTTTGTATTTTATTCACTCTGTGTTCCACAGCCTAGCTTGTTACCTTTGTAAAGTCTTTAGTCAATATATATCAGAAAGAACAAATGAATACATGAAGTTAATTAAATGTCCTGAGATGTAAAAATTATTGCTGATATCCCCTAACAATTACTATACATTTTCATGTACCAGGCACTGCGATAAGAATGCTAATGTGTATTATCTCATTTAATCCTCACAACAACCTCTTGAGGAAGGTACGATTCATAACCCCAAGTTACATTTCAGACTGAATACTGTAGAACTGAATTATATTGTTTAGGAGCTCACAGTAAGTGACAGAGTCCAAAATCAATTTCAACAGTGTCTTTGTCATGACCTATGGGGTACATTCTTCTGTTCTTCAATCTTCTGAGCAAGGCTCAGCCCCTGCTCTATAGGAGACTCTCCAGGCAGTGGGGAGACCAGTGAATTCTGGGCATGGCTTGTGCCAGAGGTCCAGGAACCGTGCTCTGACATGGGAGCAGGTTTACTTTATCTCCATGAACATTTTTGAAGCCCAAGACTGACTTTGGTCCCTTTGCCACCACCTGAAACAAGCATATCAGACAGAAAGGAGACCAAGTTATCACCAGCATCAGAAACACTGTCCCCAGGGACTCCAGGGTTTCAGCACCTCTGGCCCCTGCACAGGCCCCTCCCCTAGAGGCCAGCAGGAATGTTGTTCAATTAGCCCACATTGACTGTTTCTTTATTGATGATCCTGGGTGTTTTTCCCTCATGTCTTCCTTCTGCTATAAAATAAAAGCCTCTTGCCCATTGTTCTGTTACTGATAAACAGACATGCAAGTCTATTACAGTCCCTGAACCACAGAGGCTGTATCTAGTCCTTTGGCTCCTGGATCTGTTGGGAAGAAAGCAAGGACTAAGGTAATATCCCAGAGCAGAAGGTATTTGAGTATATTGATAACAAACATGAAGGGGCTCGTGTAAACTGTGTGTGATTATGAGACTGAGTGTGCATGTTCTGTGTTTTCTACATGTGTGTTGCTGACTCATATATGGAAAACCTCCACCTGGGATGTGCATTGACCAGGCATGGCTAGAAATATATGAGTAGTGTATGTGCTTTAGTGGTTAAATCTATGTTGCCTGTGTAGTGTTTGTGTGACTCTCTGTGTTGTTGTGATTTGAATATTTGTGATTGTCTGGGAGTGCCTGTACATATGCATTTCTATTACATGTTTTTTTGTCAGTTCTTTGTGGGACTCTTTGTATGTTATGTGTGCTTTGCCTCTATGAGAGAATGCTTATTTATGAACTTTCTGTGAAACAGATTTGTACCCTGATCATCTTCATCCATGGCATGCATGTCAGAGAGAATAGGAAATTACCATTTAACAGTATGTGTGTTGTGAAGTATACGTGTGGGAGAAAGAGAGAAATTACAGGTGTAGAGGTGTCTGTACTGTATTTAACAGACTCACATCTCTACTAAATTCACCCAGAAGTGATACGGGAAATGCAAGGGATTAAATTCTAGTAAAGCTGTGTGTGTGTGTGTAGGTGTGTTTGTGTATACACGCACATGTGTGCCTGAGTATAGGACAGTCTTTTCAGTATTCCTCTTGATTCAGACCAGAATCCACCAAGGCACTTTCAAATTGGATCCTCCTCAAGACCTATTGCTGCAGTTGACTTTTCCTATAATGTACCCAGAGCCCTAAACACGTCCCACTCGGGCCTTCAGTATTGTTCATATTGACACTTTAGGAGCATGGTAACCTGGTTCAGTGTCCAGGTTCTGGTGCCCTAGGAATCTGGTGGTGCCATGCAATAGTTTTCTGGGCTTAACATTTGATCTCTCTGAGGCCTGCAGCCTTAAATGTAAAATAAGGTAACAATATGCTATGAAATATTGTCTGCATGTCAGGCATGTAGTAAGACATAGCCAGCTGCATATTATTCCAAGATTGAGGCTAATGTCCCTGGCTCTTCTTCGGGTAACTCTAACATGGGAGAGTATGTCATGTCAGTTAGAACAGAAAGTTCATGCAAAGATTCTCTTCCAAACGTTAGGTTACAGCTTCAGTCCTGAGTATCTCTCACATTGCTATTTAAACACATGATGAATGCTTCCTTTCTTCTGGTTCACCTCTTGACAGGCAGCTCTGTGCCTGCTTCAGGCTTCCTGGTCACCCCATCCAGCACTCTCCCTTCCAGAGAAGCCAGAGTGCTTGGTTGAGGTTTCACCCAAAAATTGTCAATAAGCATCCAGAGCCCATAGGGTGGGAGGTCACCTCCTTCCTCCTAGTGTCCTTGTGTTCCTGAGAATCACCTCGGTTTGGAATAAGAATCTACTACTATCAGATATGCAGTCCTGTGTGTTAATGTCAGTTTCCTCTTCTAGGCATGCATCATGCATGCTAAGTTGCTTCAGCTGTGTCCTTCTCTTTGCAACCCTATGGACTATAGCCTGCCAGGCTCCTCTGTCCATGGGATTCTCCAGGGCAGAACACTGGAGTGGGTTGCCCTGCTGTCTTCCAGGGGATCTTCCTGTCACAGGAATTTAACCCATGTCTCTTATGTCTCCTGCATTGGCAGGTGGGTTCTTTACCACTAGCACCACCTGTGAAGCCCCTTCTAGGCATTTGGGTATTTTAATTCCATTACCCACTCCCCCACCCCCAAATGGGAAGTCTGTCCCTAATGAACAGAGTATCAGCAGACTTCGAGATCAAGTTCTACCACCAAATACATTTTGTAAGTGACACACTTCTCACATTAGTAGAATGAAAGAAAATAAGTCACTGTTTTCTCTCCTTCTCAGACACAATATGTATGCTGATTGCATACAATTGAAAGCATATGGAAGCCATTTGTGCAGTGTAGGCTGTGGGAATCTAAATGGATATAGGTATGAGTGATGGCAGATGGGTGCACTGGTGGTTGAGGTCATATTGAGCATAGAAATCCTCTTTCAAAGACTGAAATAACATGTCTCAAAGGTATTGCTCTTCTGATCAATTAAATAAGGGAAGGGAGAGTATGTAAATAAGAGTAGAGACTTAATAAAAAGTTGAGTAAAGAGTGATGACTCTCACAGTTACTGGCTGTGTGATCAAGGGCTGGTTTCTTAGCATCTCTTAGCTTGAGCATCACACACACATGATGTGTATACTAAAATCCATTTATTTTGTCTGGTGCATAGTAGACCCCATGCTCAGTAAATGTCAATTACATTATGACTGATAGTGGGGACTAGCCATAGAAATCAGATAAATATTAATTCTAATAGGCATCACTTATCATATAGCATCTACCATCTCTGATATCCTAGGGCAAATGTTCCAGTGCCTCACTGCATATGACTACCTAGATTGAGGCAATTTGATTCACTAAAGGTAGATGCAGGGAAATGAACAACAGTGGAGATGGGTGAAATACAATTTATTTTGCTCCAAATTAAACAAAATGCATCAAGTTAAGTTCTATCAGGAAATTAACCACAGGGTCTAGGGTGTGTGTGTGTGTGTGTGTGTGTGTGTGTGTGTGTGTCTCTGCATCTCCCTTGGGACATTAGGAGTCCATGTAGATTAACACAGCTTTGAGATCAGCTACCTGGTCTCCTCCCATTCCTGGTGTAACGAATGGGTTTCTGAAGATTAATCCAGGATCTATCTGGATACTCACGCTGGTGTGAAGATATTAAATGATGTATCTCTGCCCTTACTATGTGAACATTGTACTAATATCATAACTCACATTGAATCATTTAATTCTTCTACTGTGAGTATTGGTAGAGGTTCAAAATGAAGCTGGCAGAGAGTAAGTTGATGCAAATAACTAGAAAGTCTTGGAGTCAGAACCCACTAGAAATCTCATCACAAATACAATGAACTGAGCAAGTTTCTGAAGAGGCTACTCCTGAACATATGAGCTCCCTGAAGGAAGGGTCTTTCTCTGTCTTTGTTTTCTCCAGCAAAGAGTCTCCTGATAGAACTTAACTTGTCTCTCATATTGTTAAACAAATAAATAAGTTTCCCCTGGTATACACTGAAGGGCAATTTTTGCTCATTGGAGCTCTGATAACTTCCTCCTGCTCCACTGGGGGAGGGTGGGGATTGAGGTGATAGCATGTGAGGAATATCCTGAGGAATTCCTCAGTGGAAAGTAGATAGCCCTACAGTGATTGTTGTTATGATTTATCATCTGGGACATTTCCAATCTAATCAGAAAGACAAGGAGCATGAGGAGGGAGAACCAGAGCAGCATTTCTGAATTCCTCCTCCTGGGGCTCCCCATCCGGCCAGAGCAGCAGGGCATGTTCTTCGCCCTGTTCCTGGGCGTGTACTTGACTACAGTGTTGGGCAACCTGCTCATCATCCTGCTCATCAGGCTGGACCCTCACCTCCACACCCCCATGTACTTCTTCCTCAGCCACTTGGCCCTTACTGACATCTCCGTCTCATCTGTCACCGTCCCTAAGATGCTCATGAACATGCAGACTCAGCATCAATCCATCTCCTATGTAGGGTGTGTAACACAGACATATTTCTTCCTCTTTTTTACTGATCTGGATGATTTCCTGCTCACCTCAATGGCCTATGATAGGTACGTGGCCATCTGCCACCCTCTCCACTACTCTACCACCTTGGGACAGGGGCTGTGCATCTTACTAGTAACTGTGTCCTGGATTCTCTCCAGTGCCAGCGCCCTATGTCACACCCTCCTCCTGACCCGGCTCTCCTTTTGTGCTGACCACACTATTCCCCATTTCTTCTGTGACCTTGATGCCCTGCTGAAGCTCTCCTGCTCAGACACATCCCTCAATGAGCTGGCCATTTTCACAGTAGGAGTGGCCGTCATTGTCCTCCCACTAGTATGCATCCTGATCTCATATGGCCGCATCGGGGTCACCATCCTGAAGGTCCCTTCCACCAAGGGGATCTTCAAAGCATTGTCCACATGTGGCTCCCACCTTTCTGTGGTTTTCCTATTTTATGGAACAATTATTGGACTTTATACTTTACCCTCATCCAGCACCTCTAATGACAAGAACATAATAGCTTCAGTGATGTACACAGTGGTCACACCCATGCTGAACCCTTTCATCTACAGTCTGAGGAACAGAGACATGAAGAGGGCTCTCAGGAGACTTTCCAGGAGGGGGATCTTCTTCTCTAAGTAGCCATACTTCACCGTTTCAGTTCTTCCTTCAATGAATGGCACCAGTGTCAGACATTCCTCCATGGAAAACCATGCTGAAGACCATCCCTGTTGCTGGTATCCACTGCACTCCCATGTTTCCAGCCACTTGCGTTGCTTGTTCTTTTCTGTTTGCTCCTCCTGAAACCAGTGAATTCCAGGCATAGACACACCAAGTGCTATTTGTTGTAACCACCTGTGTCATTTTAAACCAACTTCTTTTTGTTTTAGCTTTACTGTATGTCTCTTTTATGATTCATAAGCCTTGAGATCTGGCAACATTAGAGCACCATCATCTTAGTTGTCTTCAAAGCACCAAGTGTCTTTTAAGTCATGAGTAGGAAATGTCATCTTTTACAATTACACTATTGACTTATAGTTATGGGTAGACCAAAAAAATCCCTACTTCGATACATATGTTTCCTCTTCAAAGAAAAAGAAGTTTTGACTGCTAATTTATTTCCTATTTAGATTTGTTAGACATTTTAAACAGCTGTGTCTTCTCATTCTTTAAGTTTCTGATGCCTATGTTGAGAATATTAGAAATGTCAAATGTGCTGTGGTTTGGAAATGGTTATCTTTTGTAGTGTTTATGTGAACCTCTTATATGAGTTTGTATCAATGTTTGTGAAACAGTGGTGTTGGTAATTAGATCACTCTTAAAATGGCTGTATAAAATTAATAATAACCCATATTTTAACAATCAACTTAGTTTCACTCTCAATTTTTATCATATTTTTTTTCTATAGCTGTCTCAACTTAACTTGTAAGTTTAGGGTAGGAACATTCAAAATGCTACTTTAGCTATAGGATCATCTGATCAATTAAATGCTTCTTATGGATTTTCAAAGTCTAAACACAATATCAAACTTCTGACAGTTGATTCTAATGCACAGTCGAGGTTGAGGACACTTGGACTAAGTGATTAAGAGAAGCACATAAAACTGAGTCAAGATTCATATTTTAAAAACACCTGTACCTACACTGGACTTTCCTGGTGGCTCAGATGGTAAAGAATCTGCCTGCATTGCCAGAGACACTGTTTTGATCCCTGTGTTGGGAAGACTCCCTGGAGAAGGAAATGGCAACCCAGTCCAGTATTCTTGCCTGGAGAATTTCATGAACAGAGGAGCCTGGTGGGCTACAGTTCATGGGGTCGCAAAGAGTAGGACACGACTGAGCAACTAACACTTTCACTTTTGTACCTATACTGGGAATTGCTACAGAGAATTTATATGGTAGAACACAAGAGTAAAATTTTGCCAAAGTTTTGCAATTATCCTTGGGAGCCTTGTAGATAATGAAATATGGACCAACACCAAACACAAAGAATCATCCCTTAATGAGATATTACAATATGGCAGGTGTAACTCTGATCTCCCATCCTTTAGATAGTAGCTGGATGGAAAAAAAGCTTATTTCCAAAGGAATCTTCTTGGAAAATGAAGATGGAAAAAAAAACATATTTCCATGTTAATTTCTTTGTGAAATACATTTGTGTGGAAAGTCTTCCCTGATATGAAAATTGGGTTAATTAAGATAATGGGGGAGGGGGGTCTCAATGGAAAATTTCTCTATTATCCAAGGGGACTCCTGCATGTCTTATTTCTTCATTTTCATTTGCAGTTTTATTGGGGTGTAATTGGCATATAGTTTTTAAATGTTCAACTGTAGGTATCTTGACATCCACATGTGAAACAATTACCATAATCAAGATAACAATCATATCTATAATCCTCAAAGGTCACCCTGAACAATTTCCTCATATGCTTTTGTAAGCCTGCCCTCCCTTCACCTTTACCTACTGTTTCAATTTGTGTCTTTTTTCTTAATCAGCTTGGTTGACAAATTTTATTTTCTTCAAAGAACCAATTTTTGGTTTTATTGTTATTATATATTGCCTTTTCTGTTTTCTCTTCCACATATTTCTGCTTTTTTATTATCATTTTCTTTGTTTTGCCTACTTTGGGTTTTGGATTCACAAAAGACCCTGAATAGCCAAAGCAATCTTGAGGAAAAAAAAAAAAAACACTTGTAGCAGCACATATCATGATTTCTAACTATATTGCAAAGTTATAGTAATCAAAACAGTATGACATTAGCTTAAAACAGATGCATAGACGTAGTGGAACAGAATAGAGAGACTGGAAGTATTAACAAACCTACATGTATATGGTCAATTAAGTTTACCAAAAAAGTACCAACAATGTACAATGGGGAAAGGACAGTCTCTTCAATAAATAGTGTTAGGAAAACTGGACAGCCACATGAAAAAGAGTGAAATTGGACTATCTTATACACCAAAAACAAGTACAAAAATTAACTCAAAATGGATTAAAGACTTGAACATAGACTTGAAACCATTAAAATCCTAGAAAATGACATAGGCTACAATCTCCTAGACACTGTTTTTGATGGTGATTTTTAAAAATTTTGACACCAAAAGCAAAGGCAACCAAAGCAAAAGTAAACAGGTGGTACTACATCAATTTATAAAGCTTCTGCCCAGCAAAGGAAATCTCCACAGAATGAAGAGGCAACCTAGCAATGGAAGAAAATATTTGCAAATAGTGTATCTGATAAGGGATTAATATCCCCCCAAATTAAAAAGAATTTATACAACTAGATTAAAAACAATCACACAATCCAATTAAAAAATGAGCAGAGGATATGAAATGGATATTTTCCCAAAGAAGACATACAGGTGGCCAATAGGCACATGAAATGATGCTCAACATCACTAATCATTGGTTTCGTTACTAAGTCATGTCCAACTCTTGTGACCCTATGGACTGTAGCCCACCAGGCTCCTCTGTTCATGGGATTTCTCAAGCAAGAATACTGGAGTGGGTTGCCATTTCCTTCTCCAGAGGATCTTCCTAACCCAGGGATAGAAACTGGATCTCCTGCATTGCTGGTGGACATTGGGAAAATGCAAATCAAACCATAATGAGATATCACCTCACTCCCATTAGAATGGCTATTATCAAAAAGACAACAGTAATATGTGTTGGCAAGAATGTGGAGAAAGGGGAATGGTTGTGTACTGTTGGTGGGAATATTAATTTGGTGCAGCCGCTGTGGAAACCAGTATAGAGGTTCCTCAAAAAATCAAAAATAAAGCTACCATAGAATCCAGTAATTTCACATCTGGGGTGTTATCCAAGTAATATTTATTTGAAAAAATTATACAAATTTATTCCAGAGAAAACAAAAACAGTAATTTTAAAAGAGATATATGCATCCAAATATTCATTACAGCATTATTTGCAAGAGCCAAGATATGGAAACAACCTGAGTGTCCATCAGTGAGTGAATGGATGAAGACGATAATTGTATGTATATATGTGCATGAAACGGGCAAAGGAGTCCAAAGGTGTAATTTTCCAGTTTTAAAATGAAGAAGTCCTGAGGGTGTAATGTACAGCATGGTGACTATAATTATTAATAATAATACTATATCACATATCCAAAAGTTGCTCAAAATCACTGCAGATGGTGACTGCAGTCATGAAATTAAAAGACACTTACTCCTTGGAAGGAAAGTTATGACCAACCTAGAGAGCATATTCAAAGGCAGAGACATTACTTTGCCAACAAAGGTCCATCTAGTCAAGGCTATGGTTTTTCCAGGGGTCATGTATGGATGTGAGAGTTGGACTGTGAAGAAAGCTGAGCGCCAAAAAATTGATGCTTTTGAACTGTGGTGTTGGAGAAGACTCTCGAGAGTCCCTTGGACTGCAAGGAGATCCAACCAGTCCATCCTAAAGGAGATCAGTCCTGAATATTCACTGGAAAGACTGATGCTGAAGCTGAAACTCCAAGACTTTGGCCACCTGATGCGAAGAACTGACTCATTGGAAAAGACCCTGATGCTGGGAGGAATGATGCTGGGAGGGGCTGGGGGCAGGAGGAGAAGGGGACAACAGAGGATGAGATGGCTGGATGGCATCACCGACTCGATGGGCATGAGTTTGAGTAAACTCCAGGAGTTTGTGATGGACGGGGGGCCTGGCGTGCTGCGATTCATGGGGTCGCAACGAGTCGGACATGACTGAGCAACTGAACTGAACTGAACTGAAGACTGCAGATCTTAAATGTCCACATCACAAGAAAAAATATTTTTGGAACTATGTATGAGGACAAATGTTAACTAGGCTTATTGTGGTGATTATTTTATAATATGTAAATATTAAATATCAAATCATTATGTTGTACACCTAAAACCAATATAATTTATATGTCATTATACCCTAGTCCTAAAAACTCTTATAAAAGAATAAAACAATTCTGATAAAGAACATCTCTTTTTTGAAAAACTAAAGAGCATATTTCATGGTAACATTTTTAAGCTTGCCTCCAAGATTTTTAATGAAACAAAGATTAATAATTTTTACTCTACTTTCCAACCAGAGCCTTTATACTAGTATGATAAAACTGGCAGTGTTAAGAACTTAATCTATGAACATTACAATCTTTACAACATAGTTTCGGTCAGATTCTCAGTCACAGCTACTTAGCAAACACCCGAGGTAAAGAGAAATGC